CCACAATCCAAATTAGCCTTAGAGCTAATAAAAATTCAGTTTGCCTTTCCACCATATGACGGGTCTCTTCTATCAATAAACAGTCACCTCAAAGATCAGTACGCCACTGCTATCAGTCACCTCAAAGATCAGTACGCCACTGCTATCAGTCACCTCAAAGATCATGCACGCCACTGCTATCAGTCACCTCAAAGATCAGTACGCCACTGCTATCAGTCACCTCAAAGATCAGTACGCCACTGCTATCAGTCACCTCAAAGATCAGTACGCCACTGCTATCAGTCACCTCAAAGATCAGTACGCCACTGCTATCAGTCACCTCAAAGATCAGTACCCCATTGCTGAGTAACCATCTCCTCATACAACTTACAATAATTTTGTTAATTCTCATGAAAAGGCTGTAGCAGATGTCATACCTTTAAAGACTAAACATCAGCAACACATTCCTTGGGAATCAAATAACATTGATTCCCAAAGAGCTAATGGGAAAGAAAAAGCTGCCATAAGAAATTCAAATCTATCCCTTAAATCTATCCAAGATTTCAACAAGGCACTTGCTCAACAAGGAAAAATTTGGTTCATCAAATCTGCTTCTGCCAATAAACAATCTGCTCTTGCTCAGAAAACTGTCAAGATCAGTGGCAGAAAATCAAATAAATCCAAGTTAAAAGCCAATAGTCAGGCTGAAAGACCATTTTAAAAATCTCTTCAGAATTTTTAATTTTGGAATGTACCTGACATTTTAGATACTGAAGTTGTACAAATCATTGAACATCCTCTTGACATTAAAGTTGAAAACTTTCCAAATGTACAACTTGAAAAAGGCATTAAAAAAAACCATCAAATATAGGAAAGCAGCAGTAGAACTTGGTAACATTATGCCAGAGGTCTGGAAGACCCAGAATTTCAATGATATCCTGCTTCAATTCTGTAACACCACATATAATGGAGAAATTATAGAAAGATGGACAGAAGGTTGTATACTTCTTTTCCAAAGAAGGGAGATCTAGGATCAGCAAAAAATTATAGAGGAATTACACTTAACTTTATTGCAGCAAAAATTTACAGCTCAATGCTTCTCAACATAATACACCCTGAAGGTGTTCTGGAAAAATCAAAATGGTTTTCGAAAAAATAGATCAACTGTTGGACAAATCCTGACTGTTCAGTGGATTATTGTGCGCATCAGGGCAAAGAATCTACAGGCCATCTTAATATTTTGTAAATTTTTCTCTAAAACCTTCGATCCTGTTCATAGGGGAGAAAAAAAAAAAAAAAAAAAAAATGGAGAAGATCCTTCTGGCATATGGCATCCTTTCTGAGACAATAGCTGCCATGATGCTATACAGAAATATGTTAGATCCCAAGACGGAGACACTTATTTTTTTTAATATTAAAGCAGGGGTCCTTCAGGGTGTTTACCCTGAAGGACTTTTTCTCTTTATTATCACACTTGACTATGGATTGAGAACTTCACTTGATAAACATCATCATCTAGGTTTTACTTTACCACCAAGACTCAAGTCGATATCTTGCTAAAAAGTTGACCGATATTGACTATGCAGATACATTAGCTGCCACTACAGGCACCATTATCAATACAACAGCTCTCCTAGATCTAGAAAATGCCTCTAAAATTGAATAAGCTTCAACCAGTAAAACTGTCTCAGTTGAATCAATAAAATCTATTGAATCTTTTACATACCTAAAAAATGAAATAAATTCTACTGAAAAGGAAGTGAAAATTCACATAGCTGATGTAATCTAGAAATCTGATCTATGAGCCATCTCAAATAGAATTTCTTTTTTCTTTTGCACTACTGTAGACTCGGTTTTAATGTATTTTTTACATGCTTGGACATTAACTAGAACCCTTGAGTCTAGGCTTGATGGAATCTACACTGATGGTAAAAGCTATATTTAACAACTCTTGGAGACAACATCCAACTAAGTCACCGATCCCTGATATTTCTACAAACTTGCACGATTAGCAAAACAAGAACTTGCAAATGATCAACTGCTTTGGACACCTAGACATGGCACAAGATAGGTTGGTTGTCCAGCAACCACCTACATTGACCAACTATGTAGAGACAAAGGATGCCACCCTAATGATCTTCTGACCTTGATGCTAAGCCGTAATAGATGGCGTGATAGACTCATGAATGTCTGACTCGTACAAAAAATATATACGTGCATTTTTCATTCTTGTATAGAAACAGGTTACAAAGCACATAAAAATATCATAATGGATCCATACAAACTATATTCAGGAATATAAACATATACCATATATACACATTCTCTCCCCTCCCCACACACACACTTCCATTCATATATATATATATACACACACACACACACACACACACACACACACACACACACACACACACACACAATTAGCATAAATTTTGGCCCTGTTATTTTATATCGAGCATTGTTTTATTACCACCAGCACTTACTGTGTGCTATAAGGATGTTCAAAAAATGTATACAGGTCATATCAGCCTTTAACTTGTTAACATCTTTACTTTTGTATAAAAAAAAAATTTGAACAGGAACTTGTACTAAAATTAAAATAGAAATCTGAAAAGGCATCAAGAAAAGTCTAGTTACACTGTGGAGGGATGAGATCTGTATGTACACACAAAGCATACACGCTGAGCTATGTTTTTGTTTTTTGAAAAAAAAAAAAAAAAAAAAAAATGCACACATTACAGTTGTTAATAAACTATTACATACTTTTAATAATTTTACAATTAAGAGAAATTACAATATTAGATATAAAATACTACATGATGAAAAGTATTCAAATTATCTGAAAAGATATGTATACATCTTTTTCAGACAAGCTGTATATTTGAGATTAACTTTTCTTTGGTACATATTCTATTAAGAGAAATTCCTTTATTTTTCTTTATTTAGATTTTTGAATGGAAAATTATTTAGAACCAGCCTTAAGTTCAAAAATTTGTGAAACTTAAAGCTCAATACTTAAATATGGTGCTTCCAATAAAATATTTACATCTATACATAAATTACTTAAAGCTACATATCCTCCCTAAAAACATTCATACCAAGATGCAAAAGCTTTTCTCATGCAGAAATATCAGATTCATATAAATTATTTAGGGTTTTTATATATCTTTTTTACAAAAATCATTCATTGCAACTTTCAAAAATATCAAAGTTCTTGAGAAATGATGCTTGCATATGTAACAGTTCTTCTGAGATCCCTTTGGGATATGAAAGAGACTAAAAAAATATACCATATTTGTTGGATTATTTCATGTACATGTGTGAGTGTGGATATATTTTCAAATGTATATTCTTTGCATATATCTTTTATATAATAAAGCTGTTAACACATGCACTACAAGTAGTAGAAGTATAATAATTTATAATTTACTGCACTGAAAAAAAAAAGTGCTCAGGGATAGAACGTATATAAATATAACAGTGGACCTGAAGTCAACAAGCCAAATTTTTACTAGGTTACTTAAAAATAGAAAACTGAAAATAAACAAGAATAACAAAAATAAATAAATGAAAAAAATAAAATAAACAAAAATAAGCAAATTAATACAAACCAATAAATAAGTGAATAAACTAAGTAAATAATAAACAGACTAACAAACCATGAATGCACAGATAAATGCAGGAAAATGTAATAACAACCAACAATAAAATAATCAATAATAAATAAAAGCTAACACTATAAATAACCAAAAAACTGTATTAGGATCCACAATTATTCCCATTCAATAGTCCCTAGAATAATTCGAAATATAATCATTACTGCCCACCATCAAAATAATACAATAGACTACCCACAATGCATCACTGACCTGTATAAATAGTCAAGCAAAAATATACTGTACATGGCCTGACAATTGCATTTAGCCTGAAATAGACTTACCTCTTTATGTTGATTTAAATGTCCATTTTTATATTTTCATACTCACTCTAATAATATATATATATATATATATATATATATATATATATATGTGTGTGTGTGTGTGTGTGTGTGAAAAGTGTATATAAATATAAATAAATATATATATGTATAATTATTTATATATTATATCATGTACTTACTTATTAAGCGCTCAATATCAGAGATAGAGCTAACATATTTTTGTTGGATAGATGTGAGTTTGTGACCCTGGGTTTCACGCTTTACGATCGCTAAAAAGTGAAACCCAGGGTCAAACTCACATCTATCCAACAAAAAAAAATATATATATATATATATATATATATATATATATATATATATATATGCGCTTGTATCAGGTATATATTTCTAAGTACATACTTATAAAGAAACAGATACACTTTACATTCAAATGAACAAGAACAATGTCTTTTCAAAGAGGATAATGTGTTTTGTTTTTTTTTTTGTCTTTCCCTAAGAGGCCATCCCTATTATAATCAGGAATATATCTCATTACATTTCTCAGGCAAATTCTAATGGGACAATCATAAAAAAACAAAGAATCAAAGTTAGAATGGTGAAATAAATATGTGCCTGTTGGAATCACTTTCAAAGGACAGCAGCAATCCAGCATTACTAACAGCCTGACACAATACACATTGAAAACACATTGTTGAGAAGATAAACACTGTCAATAATAGAAGAGAAAGACTATCAAAGAACTCTTTCAAAAATTATAACACATACACATGCAACATACTCAATTACAAATACACACAGATCTCATTTCATCAGATATACATTCAGACAATTGCATACAACTATCATACCTCTACATACATGTATACACCAGAATTTAATAGCAATTTTTGCATCCCTGTGTTGAGTTTAATTTTTAGCATACTCACATAGAAAGAAGATATTCAAAGAAATAGCACCCCCCCACCAAAAAAAAATATGTTACATCTATAAATTGGATTCGTATCAGAACTGAGATGGTGAAGAGGACAGTGGAGGTGGTGGACTGGTAGCTAGAGATTAAAGTTGAATAGTTGTATTACATCCAGGTGATAGTGACATCGACATTGTCTCGACCGACCTTATCAAGGAAATGCTCAAAGTCTCGGCGCGTTATACTTTGGCACTCAATCAAGTCTAGTCTCTGCAGTCCATTCTTCTGATCATTGAGTAGACGCAAGATTGAACGTCTATCAACATTGTTGCACATTTCCAGTACGAGTGTCTGCAGACTAGATAATGGGTTCTGTAGCAAAACTGCTGCCAGAAGGTCATCTGTCAGGAACTGCATGTTTGTTAAATGCAAGTGCACAAGGTGTCGGGCATTGGTTAGAATCAGACGAAGGATATCTGCAGGGAAATTATTTGTCTCACTTAACAAGATTATGCGAAGACTTCGTAAATGAGCAAAGAGGCCTTCACTGGTTGGCTCTGATCCAGCTACATCATATGTTGGCTGCAAGTAATCATGTCTATTGTGGTGGTTCACTGCTGGGCGGTATGGGGCATTTGACCATGTCATTCCTGATGTTATTCCTGAACGAAACCTGCAGACACCCCAAAAATCATCCTCCTCATCATCATCATTGCTCTGTCCAGCAGGTTGGTCACGGGGACAGACGTTGTCTTGCCACTGGCAGCCATTAATAAGCAGATTCCTTAAAACATTTGCATCATAGTCATTGAAATCACACATTGATGACTCCAGCGAGAGATGTTGAAGCTGTGGGCAGTACTGGCCAATACGAATAATATCAATGTCAGCAAAATCATAGAGGGTCAACCGGATAAGATTTGGCCCTGCCTGCTTCAGGACGGGCACAAGACCTTCTTCAAATGTGATAGGGTCTGGTGCGCAACTGACAACTTCAAGAACACTTAACTGTTGCAATTGTGTAAGATATGCCATACCTGAGTTACCAATGTTTTGATGCAGATAAACCTCTGTCACATTTGGACACAACTGACATGCAAATTTGATACTATGTGCAGTAACTGTTGCACACTGGATACCGGTTGCAGTAAGTGAATTTATTGCATACGTCCTTATCTGAGGGTTTTTTGTTGTAGACAATGGCTTTGAATCGGACTGTTTTGAACTCTCAACTTGTATACAGCCTCTCTTCTTCTTTGTCTTCACAGTCTCTTTACTGTTATCATTGCTATGATTCAAAAAACCATTTCCAGTAGCACCTTCCTCTACTGATGAGGAATCTGCTACATTGTCACTTGATGCTAAGTCCATTTGTGCGTCTTGAGTTGATTCTGTGTCTTCAGATGCACTACTCAAATAATCGACAGTATCGCGCTCATTAAATGTGCGTCCATGACCAGCAAGGATAGAAGTGCCATAACGTTGAACATCTAGATAGAGTTTCTCAAGGACAGCACACACATCACAGTAGTGGAAATAACGCAAACATTGCAATGTTTGAAGGATAGCACTGGCCCCACAGAGGCTCACTGCAGTGGCACCAATGTCCAGGCTGACCAACTGAGAGCAGTTTGGGAGACCACCATTGGCTGAAGACTTCAGACAAAGGCCAAAAGCTCCTGAATCAGTGACTGGGCAACCAAAGACATTGAGTTCACGAAGTTGTGAGCAGGTTCGACCAATGGTAGCCATCACTTGGTCATTACATTTGGTATTTTGAAGAATCAGTGATTGGATATGTGGTACATTGAGGACAAGATCTACCAGCACTTTGGCTGAAATCTGATTCAGTGACGACAAGTTCAGTTTGGACAGCGTCTGCAGAAAAAAAAAAATGGTCAGTTAACAGAGTGAAAAATCAAGTAAGTAATTATCATCAAGGAAGCATAACTCCTGAATGTTTAAAGGTTGTTTCTTTTCATCAATTGACACTAACCACTCTAAAGCAATGAAAAAATATATTTTAGAATATCAGCACAATAAACTTGTTTGGGATAGTAGCACTTATTAAATAAACTTTTATAAAAAATTGAAAAATACAAGTAAATTACATACATATATATATATATATATATATATATATATATATATATATATATGAAAAGTGTATATAAATATAAGTATGTATAATCATTTATATATTCTATGCGTGGTACTTATTAGAAAGCGCTCAATATTTAGAATAGAACTAACATATTTGGTTGGATAGATGTGAGTTTGTGACCCTGGGTTTCACGCTTTAGCGATCGTCAGGTCTGACGATCGCTAAAGCATGAAACCCAGGGTCACAAACTCACATCTATCCAACCAAATATATAACGAATTATTTCCTATTAAAATTATTTTAATTTGATACAATGTTAATGACATACTTATATATTTTTCAATAAAGTATTAACAAAATATATAATACTAATAAACAACATTCTAAAATAAAACAAGTCTGTATTCAAAAGGTATGACTATTTGAAAGTTTCTACATTAAAAAAAATAAACAAAAATTTCTGAAAAACAGTGATTTCACCAAATAGCTTTGAAATATACACTGAAAAACCAGAACACATAGGTATAAAATTGTTTTCACATTAATTCTATTTAATATTACCATTGTACATTAGAAATAAAAACAAGACCGAATCCCTCATATGTAACATTATCGTTTATTTCATTCCAGACTTCATCAATTATTGTCGGACACTGGGTGTGTTATTTTGGGGCCTTCTCTGAATGTGGGACTTACATTCTTATGTGAACTATACTTGATGACCTGAAAGTCACCCACACCAAAATCAAGCTGGTTTCTCTGATGTCACACTGAGTGCAAAGTGAATTCTGGAATTATCTTAGGTCAGCTAACAGACTGGATTTAGGGCTTCGTACTGTTTCAAGTTGCCTATGAACTAGTAAGTTACACTTTGTAACCAAGTGTAATAACAAAGTTTATTTTAACTTGCAAAATTTAACAGGAGAAAAATGTAGGTTTTTCTTTGCTCTTAAAAACATTGTATTTTTTTAGTAAATATTTCATTTTTATTTCTTCTTTCAGAAGTAATGGATAATAATGAAGCAGATAAACCAAGTGAGAGCAGTTTGGGAGATCAATATTGGCAAAAGACTTCAGGCAAAGTCCAAAAGCTTCTTAATCAGTCACTGGGCAACCAAAAACATTAAGTTCACAAAGTTGAAGTGAGCAAGTTCAGACATTGGTAGCCATCACATCGAGAAGATCTACCCACACTTGAAATTGGCTGAAATTAATGGACAACCAATACAAATCTATTACTTTAATCTTAAAAGGAATTTAAGACAATCAAAATACATTTGTGAACAGAGCTTAATTTTAAGATAATTTATTCTTTCTTATAATTAAAAAAAAATTATGAGTATATTGCTATTTATTTATTTATTAATGACCAGTTATTTTTCAATTTTATTATAAACAAGAAATGATTTGTCAATAAAATTGAGATTATTCAGAAAAATAGAGGATTATCCTTTGGCAGATTTCTTAATATTAAAAAAATTACACCTGTTTCTCTGATACACAGGTGCAAAACATTTAAGTTTTCTTCAAATTTAGAAATATTTGTGAAACAGACCAAGATAATATAGAGTAAATTGTGGCCTACAAGTCAACCTCAAGATTTTTAGCTCAAAATTCTGTGTTAGGCCTATACCTGCTGTATAGGTCAACTCCCAAACATATGGTAGGCTACCAGTGGCCCAAAATTTAGTCCTACTAGTAAATGAATACATAAGGTTATAGCATTTAACAGTATATTGAAATACTAACCATAATATCTTTCTATATATGTTGTAAAGCAAAGAACCTACAATGCACACTAGTAGGTGCCATATATTGTATCTTGTATAAATATGTCAAGTCTACTGATAAACACCTAAAATCAACAACTCCTATAAACTATTAATCATGTAGATTGCACATCATGTCAGGTAGTTGGGGGTTTTTTTCTATTTTTTCTATACTGATACATATAATATTTTATTATAAAACACAGTACCACTCATCCACCATTTGTGTGTTGTGGTGTGAATAGAATACTGAATTGGTGTTACAATTTTATTATTTTATATTAATTTCTGTGTTAATATGCCAAATATGTTCATCAAATACAAGTTTTAGTGGGATATATTTGTGGCAGCCTGCAGTAGGTATGATAATTGGTGTATAGAAATGGTTAGTGTGCTGTTCAACTTGTTTACAACTCAGAAGTAATGGTTTACACTTTATACCCACCATATAAGTGAACCCCTAATTTTAGAAATATTATTTTAGGCTTGAAAACTATTTATACACTGCAATTTACAATAATATAAATTCTACAGTTGTGAAGAACACAAGAATAAAATTAAAAATTGCACAATTTAAAATACTTTTAATATGAATATAAATCATGCACAAGATTCAAGAAAGGTAATCAATGAAACAATTATCATTATTAACATATAAAGCCAAGTAATATTTTTTCTAATTTTTTCATAAATGACCTGATTGCCTCCCTTGCATTTTAAAAATTTATTCAATAGCACAAACTTTTGCCATAACCCACATTATTGCAACTTTTATATTTTATAAAAATTATTTTTGGTTTCTCAATATGGACATGAAATTGCAATAAAAGAAAAATAAGAAAACACTTACTTAACCCCCTGTTAAAAAATTTTTTGTATTATAAAAAGTAATAAATTACCTTTTAAAAGTTTTATCATTTTAAAGAGGATCAATTAAATTCTTTTATTTAAATTTCTTGCTGGGTTTATGTAGCTTATGAAGGCTCAAGTTATTAAAAATAAATTATGCCATAAAAATTACAGAATACCTTTATTATGTGTGTTTTCTATTTGTTTTTTAATTACATTATTTACAAGCAGATTATTGACCCCATCTTTCAGGCCTAACTGCAAGACAAATATTAATAATTCAGGATGAATTTTGAAAATAAAAATACATGACACTTGATATTTAAGTTTCATGTATTTTATTTTCAAAATTCATCCTGAATTATTAATACAGAAAAATGTTCTTTTCTGTTAAAAAATCAGCTATTAACACACACATATATATATATATATATATATATATATATATATATATATATATATATATATCACACAGCTGTTTGAGGTTTCCTATAGGCCCACCGAACTTAAAGTCAATTCAGGTTTCCTATGGTAAAAATTTTCTTTCCCAAGTGAAAATCATCACAAAAATGGCAAAAGTCATTTTGTCACAGCTTATTTTCTCTGAAAAAAAATGGATTTTCATACTTTTATAGGGGTAAAATATTGACAAATGACTGTTTTATCATCACCTAAACAAATATCAAGGAAACTTCTGATCTGAACCCCATGAAACTAGGTATTTTCTGAAAGCAAAGGATATATTCTTTCATTTAAAAGTAAAATTAGCTGGTGTAAATGACTCAAATTTTTTTTTAAGTGGGTAAAATGTGAAAAAATACTGAAAATTTTGCATTTTTTTCTTGTTCTAAATAAATATTTCCCCCATTAATGGGAAATTAACCATTTTTTTTTTTTAAATCAGAAAGCCTAAATCATAATCAAACTATTTCAGGCATAAAATTGAGAGTTTTGAAGGAAATCAACATTCCTAAGGGTTCAAAATGCGACAAAATCCATTGGTAATTTTCAAGGGTTAAAAAAAATTGACACCCGGCCACGGAAATCTTTAGTAAAAGGCAAAAGATTTATCTGCAATTCCTAACCACCAGAAACCAAAAGTTTTTTTTTCCCAAAAATAGCAGCAATAAGGAAAATTAAACCTAATTGACTTTGACATCTAGGTCAAAGGTCAGCCAGCAATAAACGGTAAACCTTAGAACAAGTTGTAATAAAACCCACCACTCCCAGATAAAAGCAAAGAGTGAAAAAGAAGGATTCAACATTACTAGGGCTTGATATAACCTAAACCTTAGAACAAGTTGTAATAAAACCCACCACTCCCAGATAAAAGCAAAGAGTGAAAAAGAAGGATTCAACATTACTAGGGCTTGATATAACCTATGTTTGAACAATGGCTTGATGAGTTTTGTTTTGTCTTTAACACCCCGTGACCCAGGTGATGACAACAACACTTAGACGACATTGTTTTTTTTTCGCCGCATATCTTTCGTATTTCCTATCGCCGGTCCATTTAGCCGTTCCTTTTATTCAATGATGTTCATGCCAAATGAAAGAGAAAGGAATGAATTTTGAATGATGTTATTTTGAAGCAAAAATAAATATTTTTCATAAAAAAAAGGGGATTTTTCTCAGAAAATTGGGCATAATTTCTTAATGCTAACCGCCGAGTGACATTTTCCACAGCCAAATCGAAGATTAATTACCAGTGAATAATTCCATGTGCAAACAATAGCTGTCTGGATCGTATAACATTGCCCTAAAAGGTCCAGAAGTTTACTAATTGATCGAAAACCTGTTGCGCATAATTGTATTTTTCATGGTAAGTTTCCATTATTTCATCTTGATATTATCATTTTCGGACAGCCAAGTCATCAAGGATTCAGGAAAACAGTTTGGCATAGGTTTTCTTAAGAACTTTACATTCTATGAGGTGTTTAAAATGTTACTGACGAATGAGATTTTTTGCCGAATATTTCGTTTACATGCCATGTTGGATTTTCCTATATGACAAAAACAAGGCTTTTAAACAGCCGTTATATATATATATATAAAAAATACTAAAGCACATTTGCTATTATAGTATGCACTGATGACAGTAGGAGTTACAAGCCACTTTCCTCTTTTTGCTACTATAACAAGTTCAGTGTGTGAAAATTATTTTTTTTTTGCTATGAGGTCTGTCTGGAATGTATCAAGCCATTATGAAGACCTCAAGAAACTGCTGCATGATAACCAATAAGAGGGGACATTACTGCACATTGTGTGAATGCTCTCTTGTGGGGTTACTCAGTTGGCAATAACACATTCAAGTGAATTTTTATACTCAATAACCATTCTATTCACAATAAAGGAGTAGACTTCTCATTTTATAAGAGTTTTTTTGACAAATATTGGATCAACCAACTCCACCTTTTTCCAAAATTAAAATTGCCATGGATAAAATTAAGGAGAATGTAATGAGGCATCCACTGGCAATCCCAAAGGAAGACTTTACAGTCTGTTCTGAAAATTGGAATAACTGGGGAAAAGTATATGCCAGCTCTAAAGAGGAGTCATTTGAAAAAGACTATAGTGTCACTGCCCTAGGTAGGCCTTTTTTTTTTTTTTGTTAATATTAAAAGGGTGCATATTTTCTGGACATACCTCTTATATATGGATTGGTATCTATGTTTTTTTTTCCTCACAAAATAATGATATATAATGAAATTAAAGACATTTCAGCCAAATCATAAATATTTCAAGACTATCAAAATGAAATGAATCTATTTAAACCAAAGATTTATCACAAACATATACACACATATACTGTTTTTTGTTACCTAGTAACTGGACTGTCATGCCTGTTAGTTGAATGGTAGATTATAATGTTAAAATTATAATGATGACAACCAATGCAAACAGTAAATATACTGAGTTCGGATTTACTATCAATTTCAGCAATAATAAAGACAAGTTATATTGGTATTAAAAGGAAAGTGAAAGAGTTTTTCATTTTGTTACTTTCATCATCATTCTATACAGTAAAAAAACTTCAGGCATTTTGATACTGAAAAAAAAAATAAATATCAGAAGCAAATCTAAAAATAGAAATTAATTTCCAAAAATCTTGAAAAATAAATGCTGATACAAATATACATTGATTCTTTTAATATAATCCAACTGACTCACCTGACACCTAACCCCAACCATGCGTATCACACTGTCATGGTTAGCAATGGAACGGCACACCTCAAGGTCCAATTGCTTCAGGTGTGTGTGTAACAAGATCTGCAGGTGATGTCGCTTCAGCCATCGCTGTTCTGCAAGGATGTTAATCAGATCCTGGGTCAGTTCTGTGGCTGAAAAAAAAAAAAAAAGTTATATTCAAAAGACCACCTGAGTCTAACCTTCACAAAAATCTAGTTAAACTTTGAATTAATTAATTTAAAATTAATAGTAAATAAATAAATTTACTTATAAAATGTTTTCTACAGTTTGATGAATAAAGGATTTTTTTTTAAATCCTGCATGTGCAGGATTTTTTGTAATTATTCTTTGTCAAAAAAAAAAAAAAAAAAAAAAAAAAATTGAAAGTTAATGGTTTAATAATAATAATAATGATGATGATGATAAAGTCTTATTTTTAAATAAAAGATAACTAGAAAAAGCTGGTTTAAGAAAATCAGATAAAAATTGGATCCCTTGAGTCCAGATAAAAGCTGCTGCTGTCACAAAATTAAATATCTACTCTACCCAGCAACATTGCCTGGACTCCAACTGAAGAAGAATTGGTCAGAAGTAGAGGCAAAGGTCAGAGCATCGGTGCAGACTTGGCTCCAAAATTAGGTTGTCCTTAAAGGGTAGTGGGGCTGAGGCATGTGCCACTTACATATTGTCCCTCATCCTTTACAGCTTGGCTGTACTTCCTCTTTGTGGGACTCTTATGGAGGCAATAGAGCGTTTGTTGATCACCCTCTTGTGGGGTGGTCACAAAAATTGGGTCCATAAAAAAGCCATTACCAGCATCAGTCTCATGGGGGGGCTGGGATTGCCACACCTGGCGAGTCATTGCCATGCCTCAAGGTTGGCTTTCCTATGCCATATTTTGACAGAGAGCTTGATTTTGGCACGGAGTGTTAGGGATGCCTTCCCTAACCTTACCATTACTCCACCCATTTCTTGGGATAAGCGCCATCACAGTTGTGGATTGGAAACTATTGTATTGTGAATTAGTGGAAGGGGTCACAAAGGATCCTCAGTGTGACCAGCTCGGCTTGTCAGCATCAGAGCTGCACTCTTTTTGATCTTGGGCACCAGTGGCGAATTATCTCAGCAACCCTGAGTTTTTGCTTAGCTGGCAATTGACTCGGAACGTGCTACCTCTCAATGATGTACCCTTCAGATGGGGTGAGGCAGATTTGCAGATTGTCATCAGTGTGACCTTGGCTTAGAGGAAACAACTTCACATGCAGTCTACCATTGTCCTCAGGTGCGCCCTTTCTGGGATTATGTCGGCAAGTTGACGGCTCATATCATTCCCAATCGGCTCAATTTCCCATACACATGTGACAATGTGTCACCCCCATTCTCCAGGTTAAAACCGATGATGTTTTTGACGGTGCTAGCTTTGGCAAGAATGGTGGTGTGGACAACACAATAGGAGGGAATCTTGTGAGATGAATGTTATTCGCATCAGGATCTGGTTGTTTTCTTTAAGCATCAGCTTCGGGTAAAAATCAGGTTGGATCGAGTGTTTGATTTTGACAGATTTCAGCAACAAGTGGGTGACTGAGGCAAGCCCAATTTGTGAGGACAGAGCTAGCCTTGATTTTCTCCTTTAAGTCTCCTTAAGTGCAACAGGGTGGTTTCCTGTGACAAACTAGTTAAGTTAGACACTATTTTGTTTTCCGAGTTAATATGAGTAAGTGTTGTTCCCAGCTCTCTCTTGTTATGACTCATGTCAATTTTCCCAATCTTCCCAATTTGTTTACTAACATTTGATTTTGAGTTACAATTTTAAGTTTGATTTCGGCTTCATCTACTCCCCCATCATTTCTTTAATCATGAAATTTTTATATATTTTTGTAAAAAAAAAAAAAAAGACAGACAGATTTTTATCTCTGGGTTTTTTTTGTAGGTGCACTGTGAATATGCAGTATTTTGGTGATTGCAAGATTGAGTGGTGACAAATAAGTTCTTTTGGTGAATGAGTAAATTGTAATGAATGAATGGGTCATGAGTGGATTTAACTAGGATTAAGATAGCCAGTGAAAGACCAGCCCTCTCCCGCTCCTTTTCCTCCCCTTCAACCTTATGCCACAATTTTGTAATTTTACAAAATAAATATCCTCTACCCAGTAACATTGTGCTGCAAAATTAAAACCTATGTTAATATACAGTTAACATAATTTATTCATTACTTCATTCTTATCCAAAACTGCATTCACTATTGTAACAATTATGGTAACCTGGTATCATTCCAAGTGAAAATGTCTTCTACAATAATTTTTGCATACATTCAGTTATTTCAACAAATTATAAAAAAATAAAAACAGGCAAATATGAAGAAAAAAAAATTTTGTGCTTGACAGTCCAATACAAAATCCATCAAATTCTTTAAAAAGATTAATAGTAAAAGTGGAGGACATTATCTTAACAAAAATAGACAGAAGGCATGTCAGTTTAAAATTAAACACCTGTAGCTGTTTAATTTAAAGTTAAATTTCTAATCAGAAGACAGTTATTGTCTTTTTATTTACTTCTAGTTCAGTTGTCCAGGAACCGTCAAGTATGTATGATCTCAGTGGCTCTACCACAACCCCATCATGGAAGTCATATTACGTAGTAAAGTAAAAGAAAAGATTTGATTCCAAGAATACATGTATACAAAACAGATTATCAGATCAACTACTATAAATTATATAGGATATATATATATATATATTTTAAATTAGATTTCATTCAAAACCAATATTTTTTCCCTCATTTTTTTTTTCCACTTGTGTCATTATTACCTTAAATTCATTTTCAATAAGATAATTTTTAGGAAATATTGTTATTAAGTAAAACTATATTTACTACCATATATTGTAAAGTTTATTACTATTTGACAACCCTGGATATTTTGATGATGGATGGTGGGAGTTTTAGCAAAGGGTGAAAAACTTCTAAGACCTACACAAGATAGAAAAATGATAAACTGATTTGTTTTTATTGCATATCAACCTTTTTGAAGTTATTTAAAGATAAAATATAAAATTTGAATTGCAAGAATTTTTTGGAGGTAATGATTTTCTGATACAAGTCTTACTATTTAATCCATAGCCAGAAGGAGAAAAGGTGAATTCATACCTTTCTCAATGGTATTTGCATATGTAGATATAACAAACCCAACTGGAATTCAAACTCAGCTCCCCAAATTTCTCATTCCAACTCGTTATCCATTACATCACCTGCACATCCAAACTTACAGCACCTGATACCCCCTAGCAGTCACCCATCTAGATACTGACCAGGTTCAACGTTGCTTAATTCTGGTGGTCAGATGAGAACTGGTGTTTAAACATATGGTTGTAAACCTTAGAAAGTTGTGGAGAGCCATAATCGCCTATGTCCTGGACGGATGCAGCACATAGAAGAAAAAGAAGCCAAGATGACTAAAATAATGGTAAAAAATAAAAATTCTGAAGGTTGTGTTCATAACAAAAGACATTTTAATTTTAGTGACCACACGAGTTTTCTAAAATTAACATTAAAAAAAGAATTTTAAAAAATAAAAAGTAGGTAATTTTGTTATTAATAGTTGACAGTACCTCATTCTAAAGGGTCAGAGGAGAAAAAGAATTATTACAAAGAAAGGGGGATTAACAATTACAAACATCTCTAGAGATGGTACAAGAGGTTGATAGTAAAATAATTAATATTGTTACTAGTTATGTATATATTTAATAGTCAACCTATCGTAAACCAACATTAACTTGAGCTTTCTAAAATTTTCTTCACATTATTTCAGAAAAAAAGTAATTTGGTCATCTCGTCAATTTGCTAGGATTACCGAGATAAATAGATAGACCAATTGACTGGCAAGTGCATAACATGTGAATGTAATTATAGACCACAATGTGGCAACAAAATTCCTCTAAAATATTTGTTGAAGCAATGTCTGACGAAACTATTTCTGCAATAAGCAAATGATTGTTACACCATACTTGATTTGTCTATTTTCACAGACAGACATACACAAAAATGCAGATACAGTTATAACTATGCTGATATACTAAATTATTCATCATATATATATATATATGCAAAAATATATATATATATATATATATATATATATATATATATATGCATAAAAATTGAAACACACACTTATATAGTTTTGTGTATATAGTCACATACTCTTATATATGGATATATTTATCCACTAATAAGTACACACATACAAATGAAACAGCTTTGCACTAAAAAAAACATAAAAAAGAAGAGAAAGGTACAGTTTTTTTTTTTTCATAACCACATGGAAGACATTCTCAACTAAAACATTCCTAACAAATTATTACAAGTCCCACTAGTGGGAAGAAACATTATTTAGAAATAATACCATTTATACATAAACTGGCTTCATAGTACTAATAGTAGTAGTAGTGACAATAGTTCTGGTAATCTATGGTAAGCTGACCTCTGCCAAGATGCCTAATTCTCAACCACCTAATACTTAATTAATTAAGTAATTGTGTAATGACATTGCCCAACTAATGAATGAGAAGAAGGAATAAATATTCTTGGATTTTCTTTAAAATGGTAAATATACTGATCAAAACAATGTGAACAAATTCTAAAGGAGTTTATTCTACTTTAAGAGACTTGGTAAAATATTCTAGTTAAACTATCTCATCTTGCAGCCTCAGCCAAGATTGAACTCACCAATACTTTGATTGGTGTAGTTCATAATCTTGTCAAATAGCTGAATTCTTGATGCTTCACTAGGGCTATCAAGGGTGTTTTTATCGTGACACCAACACTAAATGGATTGCCAACCAAGGCTGAGAGACTCCATTCACCCTCCTCTAAGAGCAGGTTTGAATTCAGAGTTTTCCTTCTCCTAGACCAGTTGCCATCCAAGGCTATAGAACCCAGTCTGTCCTGCTATTTACCCATAGCTGGAGGGAGAAGAAAAAGGATTCACACCTTTCCCAAGGGTGTTAGCACGTAAATGAATGTAATGGATTCAACTGGAATTCGGACTCGGCTCTCCGATTCCTCAATCCAAGCCGCTATCCATTACTCCACCGTGCCTCCTCTTAAACTATAAAGTGGTGCTGAAAAGCTTTCAGCCCAATACACTTCCCAAAAT